AATCTTTTTAAGCTCTTCATTCAGAATTTGGTGCCTTCCTCAGGAAGAAACTATAGGTTAGTAGTTCATGCTGCTGCTTGTAAGGAAACAAGGAAATGTTTACACCAAATGTACAGATGAAAGGATCTACTCTGAAGAATGACAAATTATTTTGTGCTTTCTCTATGAACACAAAATCATATATTGCTTAGTTGCTTTGAAGGAAAGCTACTATACCTGTGTATTCTGCATAAGTAATCAGTACTCTCCTCTTACTTGCATTGATTAAATTAATGCTATCAAATTCCATAGTGTAAAGCCAGCTAAAAGTCATAGACAAAGCAGGTTTGCAAAGTTAAATAGACTTTCTAAGAAAATAAAAACTCTCCAAAAGTCAAGTTTTTGCCCATTTTGTGTGGACAAGACTTTTTACTTTAAGAATATTCTAGCTTCTTGAATGCACTTGATGCTACTGATGGTGGTTTTTAATGGACTCGCATTGCACTCAACATTGCAAACAAAACAGCTTGTCCATTAGTGCAAAACCAGGATAACACAGAATAAATGAAACTGTTCCTGCTTTATATATATTTTAAAAAGAGCAGTTTCTGTTCCCTTTTGCTGCCAAAGTTTCAGTTAAACAATGACATAGATAATCATAATGAATGTCACGAAGTAGCTAAATTAGCTATTTTTTTTAGGGAAATGCAAAGAACTAGAAGAAAAAAAAACACACGTGAGCCTGAGGACAGGTTTTCCTCAATCTGTTAACCTTCCAATTCTCTTATTAATACTCCTCCAAAGACAGAAGATCAGATGGTCTGCAGAAGAAAATGAAGTGACAGGATACCAACAAAAATGTGGGTTTTCAACTGTAGTAGCAAGGAGTGATCTACAGTTACATGATACAGTAATTAAAAGACAAAAATAGTACGAAAAATGCATTTGGAAATTGGTTTTTATCTTTTCCATGTGCTGATACTGTAGCACTTACATAAGGGGAGATGCGGCACGACTCATAAAAAAATGTGGTTAATTATCTAACTCTCTTTGACCTCAATTTCTTTCAGGTTATCCAGATGGAAAAATACTCCCTGTTTACAACCATATTCCCATCTGGAATTAATGGGATTATTTTGCTATTTAGGTTTTGGATACATCAGAGATTTCTCAAAGAATCTTAGCCATAAGCAATGCCTGGCTTATTCTCAGCTAGAGTTTAGACTGCTCTGACTTTGTATTTGATTGCGCTGTCAGATAAAAAGTTGCAGTGAATCATAAGAACAGCAAGAATTAATACCACAGGATTTGCAAAGTGCTCAGCAAGGTAGCTATTGCCATGACGTGTAACTCCACAGAGATGCTGAAAAGCTCCACGGTCTTCCAGAAGTCTGGAAAAACCTGCTCATGGAAGACACGAAAGGGCTAAAACAATCCATCAGCCCCACACACATGAGACTTAATAATCCAGGCACTACAGGCTCCTACCCGTTGGCAAACTTGCTGGGAACATCATTAGAAAAATAACACAGAATAGTACATAGCATGATCTGCTGTCTGCTTGCTCTGATATGGAAGGTGGGATTACAGACACATTTTTCATACTTACTCATTCAGTTAACAGCTTTTCCATTGCATATGGGTGTAAAAATGTAATTTATTTCCTTAAAATAGTAAAAGTTCTAGTACATGATAATAGCATTATTACACATCCAGTTTTATTACGCATGGTCTTGCACCCAGTCTGAAGCTAAGACTAAAAACAGAATGCCGCCCATGTAGAGCAAGGAATGCTATAGTTGCCAGGAACCCACATATGTCAGTGTCTCAGCATCTCAATGATCAGGGCAGGCACAATTAAACATGACTAACTTCATCACTTTTATATAGTTGGAGAAAAAAAAAGGTCATAAAGCTGTTTCTTACTACAAGCAAATATATCCCTTAAAATTAATTGATGCTCTCCTGCACTGGACTGAATTTGATCTGTTGTTTCTCTGTGGGAAAACATGCAATATATTTTTAAAAATCAGTCTTATTATTTACATTGGATAAAATGTCCTAGTAAGCAGGATTAGAAGCCTCTCCAACAGCCTGGAATGTCAGTTATCTCTGATACGCTGTCCTAGACACAGACTCTTCTTTACACTGCAGTCTGGAAGCAGTGAGAGAATCAGAGATCTTCCTACCTGCAGCACTCAGACATGGCCTGAGCTTCCCCTTGATTGAACATGAGCAGAGTGACAATAGCTGAGAAGGACCTTTTGGATATACCATCCTCACAGCCTCTCTTCTGCAAATGGCTGAAGGATGGTTTCTCTAGCTACCCACACTGGGTCTGTTTATCCTCAGAGGAAAGAAACTTGCACTGGTAGGACATGTAACATCTCAGCCTACTGTGTATGCTTAAAAGCACTTCAGCTGTACTTCAACCTCTCCACTGACTATAAGGAGACACTGATTAAAAAGAGATGGAGATGTACAAACAGCAGATATCTAAAACCGGTAGGTGAGGTCTTTTTTATTCCCTCCCTGAAGTGAAGTGGAAGCAGTGGGAGCACAGCCTGAGCCACAAGTCAGCCTCCCTATCCACGTGGTCATGCTGGAGTCCTGCAGCCCCCCTCATGATTCATCTTCTTCTGTTGACTCAAGTATTTTTACTGTCATAACTTTCACATTTACATTTCAGTCACAAGTCTCTGCCTTCTTCTCCACATCTCATCTGTGCTTGCCTCCTGACTTGTCCCCTGAACATCCCATCTATCACTTGGACTGAAGGAGCCTTTACACATTAAAAGGACAGTGATGCTGGGAGGCAGCCAGAGCTTGTTGCGGGATGGAAAACAAAGGTAAAAAGTGCACCTACCCTTAAGCATCGCTCATGCATAACTGTCCATATAAGTTTAGCTGTTCGTGTTCTCCTCTTCACACGTCTGTCTGACTTATGTCTAATTGAAAAGAGTTAGATCTTCAGGGCAGAGACAATTTTTTTCATGCTGTATACGTGGGTCTTAGACAAACATGAAATTCTAATAATACTAAACAAGCAAAGTTGTCCTCCACAGTTGTGTGATTATTTTTCACAGCACTGAGAACGGGTTTCCATTTTTCTCTTGTTGCTAAAAGCAGTTACACTTGCAGCATTAATGCCACTGTTCAAATGAACAGAAGATGTTTGCACTCAGTAAATTAAACGAGTCTTCATTTGTGTTCTCATTTAACATCAGCCTCAAACAGAAATAATGCCAAGAATTTTTTTTGGAGATAATTTTATCAGTTTGCTGTTAAAGTTTGTTAAATCTGAAAAAAAAAAATAAAAAAATTTGGAAACAGACGATACTATAAAAAAGAATTTCTGGAAGTGTTTAATTCTAAAGCACACTTCATTCAAATAATCACCATCCTGATCATTTTTACTTGTGATTTAATGCTTTGCTGTCTAAATCTGATTTTATTGTAGTAGAATGGCAATGATGCTAGAACTACACTATAAATAAAACTTGCCAAACTTAGTTCACATGCCAAATAAATAACTTTAAATAAATAAATAACTCAATCACACTATCATCAGTCAAAAATGCAATTAAGAGGAGACTCTCATTTTGTTGTTGGAAAAACATGAAATAGTACTTAGGACAGGCTGTTTCAAATAAAATTCCCTGAATTCAACGACTCCAAGGTTGAGGTACTGAAGCTCCATTTTTCAAAGTCAAAAGGATGACAATAATTATTTGATATCAAGACAGGTCTGTTTCTCTACCTGGCAAACAATATCAAATTCAGTGCAGCTTGACATGTCATGTATTTTCATTCACGTTTTCATTATAGCCCTATGAAGTACCATCATTTATTTTACATTCCCTTGAATCTTTCTGAAAGAGTAAACAAAACAAAATGTGAAATGAAGAAAAGAGAACACCAGAAAGCTAGAAATTGAAATAGAATTCCATTTCCCATCCTTCTTGTCCTACCCAAGAACAACAGTGAACACTGAACAGTGGTGGACATTGGAAAATAAAGCTGAACTATTCAACATTATGCGGCCTTGGTACAGCAGTGATAAATTCTGAGTGCCAGTGCAGTGTCACCTCTATGATAATTACAGAAGTAATAGATATCTCATTAAAGAGAGCTAACTGTCTCAGAAATGGTCTTTTCTGGCAGAGTTAGTTAATAATATATTGCAAAGAAAGGACCCATCAGTTCTCAGATGCTAAGGTTCAGTTTTACAGCCTGACATGTCTAGAACTAACAGCAAAAGTCATTCAGACTTTGACACTCCTTTTCCTTGTCTCAGGCCAAATGACCCTGTTCTTCACAGGGCACTGGGTGAGTTTCTCACAGAAGACTCAAACTACCGAAAAATCAAAGGGTAGTGCATGGCACCATACAAAGAAAGTTTTCTGGCTACACTTGTGACCCAGACACCTTTCTTAACAGCTAGATTCAAAGGAGCAGACGTCGGGCAGACTACAGGGAATTATCTCCCTTGCTACCCTCACTATCAGAAGGCATACGAGTACCTGCCATCAAAGAAAGTACATAAATGTTCATATCAAAGTGGAAAGTAGAATCTTAATAGCAAATATTAATTTTCATCTATTAAAATGCCACTATAATGTACTATACTGAGTATTGTAAAAGCTTGAAATATAGAACTCATTCTTTATCTGGATTTCTCCCTCCTTTGAACTTAAGCTATGAATTTATACAACCAGCTTCTCTTTCTTTTTCTGATGTCTTTTTTTTTTTTTTTTTTTTTTTTTCCAGAAAACATTCTAATTTGGAAATTCCTTTTTGGTAGTCTAAGAAAAGATATCAGCAATGTTTTCACTATGAAAGGCCAAGAGGGTTTTTGCAAAGTCACTGAGAATGATGTTACACAATGCCTCCACTAATAGTGATTGCAAACTAAATATTTACTTATCTTTACATAGTCTTGGCAAAACACCTTGTGCTCTAGTGGAAACAGAGTGAGTAGGCAGCCTTGGCAGCGGGAATGGAACATTAAGAAAACGTACCTGCATGACAATAAGAAGGTCAAACACTAAGATAAAAGAAGCCAAGAATGCTCTTGAGACCTCATCACTTGGCAGAAATCCACGATTCAACTTGTCCCAGCTGATCCAGTCGGTAGTGATGACAAGCACAACTACGGAGGTCAGGGTAAATAGAACCGTCCTGCAGGGAAAAAAAAGTAGTTCAGAAAGAGTATGATTGTAATGAAGAGATAGCATTCTATTTTATCTACTTCTAGTGGTCAACCATTGTTTTATTAGTATATTTCCACTGATGAAAAGACATTGAAGAAATCTAAGTGTCAAAACAAATCATGTAATTCAAAATAGGGAAGCAGTCAGCTCTTCCCTCAAGAAAAAGAAAATTATTAACTACTACAAAGCAGTTGCAAAATTAGGCTATCATATATCACTCTTGTTCTTCATTCCATATTTTTTATTTGTGATGTTAATCAATTAAGTAAAATAAAATAGAACTATTAAAATATACCAAAGACTAAATAATCTTCACCAAATACAAATAAATGATTTGAGAGAATATTTTGTAAGGCTCCAAGGACATTAGACTCTGAAAAATCTTTTCTCAGTTGCAGGTACCACAGGGCATTAATTGTGAAGGCTGAAGTTTATACAAAACATCCATCTGTATGAAAGAAATTTTCATTGCATTAAATTAATCTTTAGCATTTTCTGTGGGTCGTAGAGAAAGATGCCACTCTGTATCTCCTAAGATGTCATTTGTACAATTTTTCTGACACAATATTTCTGAGAAGTCAATGAAGAGTGAATTAAAAAAAGCAACAATGCCTGCACATGAATGATGTGAGAATTCCTGAAGACGCATCTGTGTACTTCATGCAACTCTGTGATATGCTATTGAAATAAAGTTTGTTCTAATATATCCCTACAAAATAGTTCCGCACCCCTTCCAGCAGCTATTTGGTCTTATCTTTCAGAGAATGATAAAATCCTTGAATGGCTTGGGTTGGAGGGGACATTAAGGACCATCCAGTTCCACCTACTCTGCCATGGTCAGGGCTACTACCTGCCAGATAAGGCTGCCTGGGGCTCCATCCAACCTGACTTTGAATGCTCCCGGGGATGAGGCACCCACAGCTTCCCTGGGCAGCTGTGCCAATGCCTCACCAACTTTCAGATGGCAATGATAACTGATTTAATTCCTGGTTCAATGAAAGCAGGGAAATATGCCAGTAAACGGATGAGGAACAAGGCTTTTCCCATTAGCCAGAGCTGCCAGAAAATCCATGCTGTAATAGAGGCATACCAACATCTGAATGTATACATAGAACTAAATTATTGTGGCAGTGTGGAGTTTGTTCTAGAGCAATGAAGTCTAATTTCCTTCAGCTACTGAGGACTGTAAAAACTGTGAAGAATATTTCCTATGGCACTTCTAATCAGAGCAAGTACTCAGCAGAGTAAAAGAAAAGTTTTACAGCAGTAATCACAGACTACCAGTCTGCAGACATTCATTTTTATACATCAGTCTTGGCTGTGTCTTTATGGCACACATAAGCACATAAGCAGTTGTGTACACATTTGTACTCATGAACAATTCTTCTGTGGCACAATGGGCCGTCTCTTCCACAATATAATGAGACACAAAAGGACTTACTGCTGCTACCTTTATGTTTGCACATTTATTTTCATTCTTAATAAATAAATTCAGTCATATTCAACACTGTAGTTGGCATTATAACAGTATCCCCTGAGAGCATTACCAGCACCTGGGCCAGAAAAAAAAAAAGAAAGAATGAGGTATATTATACTTAATTAGACCTCAGCAACAGTCAAGCCTGCTTATTTCCAAAACATCTGCCGTGCTGCTCTCTCACCTGTGAGTACTGAAGCTGACAGACTCCTACAGGTTCCACTTTGGCACATGTGGTGGTAAATGTTCTCGCTTGAGATGAAAAGGAACCTCTCCAGAAAAAGCACAGACCTCAGCACTTCTCCACTGCCAGGTGGAGGCTGCTCTGGCTGCTGGCTGCAATGACTTTCCTTATCCTCATTTTGCAGAACTCATGCCTCCTAGTGCTTTGGTAGCTTAGAAATTAAGTTGAAGGCTGCACAGTTTGCTATGGGAACCATGTAGCCAGAAGTTATGCTCAACGCTATTCTGCTTCAGACCCCTTAAATTACGCATTTGCATTTTGGAGCCAGAGTTCAAAGGATATAAGGTCAGACTTTGGCTTGTATGCAAGCAAAGGAAGACATTTTTATGCATGCTTTATCAGCATGCATGCAAAGACCAGCGTGCGTGCTCAAGCCCTGATTTCCTTGAGGAAATGCATATAGACTTAAAAAACCGCTTCGTTACTCGTTCTGAAATGTCAACCAGGGAGGGAAGGGAGCAGAAAATGGGCTGCTAATAGAATAAGAAAATGTGAGACCGATAAAAATGGTTAGAAAGATACATTTGAAATGGTTGCATTAGCACTCATTTGTATTTTTGACCTATGATACTAGAACAGTAAAATACTCAATACATGTTTTGGGAGCTATTATAAACTGAGTTTGTCTGAGTTAGAGTTCACATTTCTTGTGAAAATACACCACTGCCCTAGTGGTGAGGGGACTAAGAGAAGCTGAGGATTTAGCTTAACCTGACTTGTATCAGATGACACAAATGTGAACTACTCTGTAATAGGCCAGCGAAGCTTGTTCTTTACTTTGCAATGCACACTGCTAAGAAAGAGCTATGTCATCACATTATTCACTGCACTGCTGGGAGGAACCCTCCATCTTCTGCTTATAGAAGGACTATGAAGAGAAAGGCAAGAGTGGGATGACTCTTATCTCTAGTAGGCATTAGGAAGAGCAGCTTCTTCCTCCTTGTCACAGAGGAAATGCCCTTTCATATTCCACTTCTAAGTCTAGTTTGCTGCTTGAATGACTGTGTGCCCTGGCCACCTGATCAGATACGGTAACATGGATTTTACAGCAAAGCCCTTACTCTCCAAGATACCAGGGTGCTCTGAAGAATAAAAATAAACAATTCCTGAAACAAAACAACCACTGTCCTAGTCAACTACATACTGAGAAGTCAAAATTATTAGGTAGATCCAGAAAAGTCAGAACTATGATTATCACTGTTAGCAACAATCTAAAATCTCCAGTTCTACACTGAACTGAGGGAAAGGTTGAAGACAGGAACTTATCATTGCTAGGCACCTCTTAATAGCAGGTGATTTTTAAAAATTCGTATCTCCACAATCTTTGGTAGCTAAGACAGAGATTTGTCTTGAATTTGTCATATCAAATCACACATGTCAAACTAAATCCATACTGCTGGCCATCATCTGCCAAGTCTTCGCAAGGGTCAAACCTGCACTGTAGGCAGTCATGCATATTCTATTCTGCCTCTTGAAAATATCAGACCATATATTTTTTTCTGCTCTGTCCATAAATTTCACAGTGTGCTCATGGAGCATGCACTGGGCTTCTTTGTTATGAGGTGATAGTCTTCATAGGTGTTCACCTAGAGACAAACTTCATAAACCCTGTGCACGTTGGGCTGGCATGCAGTGCACTTCACAGCTTATGCAAAAGAAGGAACTCTGCTAACAGAACATCACTGGAAGCAGTGTGCTTTGCTTTACTGTGTGCATCCATACATACCTACATTGTCCAAAATGCAAGGGCGATCACGAATGTTATCCACCTGTTTTACCCTCTAGGTTGAAAATACTGAACCTTTCTCTTTAACAACTTCTACTTTTTCAAAAATCACATATAAAATTCTTCTCAGGATATCAGAAATCAGAAACACACATGAAATAAACCAGAAAAACTTCTAAGTGTAATGAAAAAAATAACTTGGACACAAACATCAAGGATGCAAAGCCACTGCACTCATGTTATCACAGAGAGGAAAAATAATACAAGAAAAATAGGGCCAGTTGAGGCCAATATGCTTTCCCTGCAAAAAAATAATAAATCAGAGTAGCATCTGTAGATGAGCAGAGATGTGCAGACAATGATCTGAAATTAAAACACCAAGACTACCTTCATCCACTCTCCAAAATACTGAGGATAGGGAAGATTTTCTAAAAATCTCTTCTAGGAGTATAAATCCAAAATGTTCAATCAAAGAAAGAAAAACACTAAAATCTTAATGTGGTGAGTAATCCATACACAGCACTGTGAGAATCTAAATTTTCTTGTCAAGATCCATTGCCAGTATCTTTCTCCAGATATGTTTCCATTCCTACTCTCTGGTCTACTTCATGGATGGTATCATCAAATAGTGGCAAAACTAATGACTTTTCCCATTTTCTTCTGGCAGGCCTGGCTTGTTTACTCTTCTGAATAGTAGGGATAACATGTGATACTCAGCTTTCTAGGATATCAGGAGCAGGAGTTGTCATATTGCCTCCTGGATGTAACTGTGTTATCAAGTCACCTCCTAAAGGAGCTTTGATCTGGAAGACCAGTCCATAACTCTTCTCCATTTATTCTGCACCTATTCCATAGTAAGCATATGAAATGTGAGGGGATGAGCCCAGACTCAGTTGTGCAGAAAACACTGAGCCTTTTTATTCCCGGGATCTGCAGTGGAGTCATTCATCTAAATGAATAACTGCATTCAGATACATCAAAAATTATCTAGATCCATAACTAGCAAGAAATAAAGACCTTCTGCCATAAGAATCCACACTTTGGGAACTCCTCTTCAAAGAGTGTGCTTGGGAACATCACAGCTTAGACTGTGAAGTTCAGAATGCCAGTTGCCTGTCATCTTGGCAACTGCAATCTGGCATCTGAACTGCCACTCGTCCATCCCATGCCTTAGCAGTTCTTGAAAGAGCACCATGTGCCAGAGCAGCAGATGGACTCCAAAACACTAAAGTATGTTCTGGAGGAAGAGTTCCAAAAGGGACACAAAGTCACAAAGGGAGAGGAAGAGAATACACGTGCTTTGCAATCTACTGCAACCCATATCCAGTGTTAATGCAAACCTAAGAAATTCTGGCTTTTTCTCAGGAGTAGAGGGGGAACATCACTTATTTTTGTTTGAATTCTAAAATAACAGCACTGCCACCAACCTTACTGGTAAAGGAGTTTCCCAACAATATCTGTAAACTGTCCATGCCAAGTGCATGTTTTCATTCAGTAACATTAAGGGCCACGACAAAGGCA